AAGTCTTCCAGAGTTGAAGAGAGTTCTATCAGAGGCTAACACTGGCCCAGATTATTAGAGTCTCTGCCAATCAAGCGTTGAAGCACATAACTTTATGCTTCCCCTATCGGACTTCAACCAGCTTGCACAATACGACAAAGTTATCTAGGAAGTATAAATTTTACGAAAACCGTACTACACTACTTTTTACAATAACAAAAGAATTTCGCTTAGTAATAAGTTAATGAGATTTAATTTTCCCTGGATGGCAAACAACGTAGGAAAGACCTCCTCGGAATTGGTAAAACCGAGCACACAGATTTTGCACGTCTTCGTTATTTTAGCAAATGAATTAGACTAAGATCTGAGGACGAACTATATGTCATTTTACCCATTTTTGAGTTGTTCATTTTGGGTATTTTCCAGCCCAACCCATGCTGTCGCTGGTCCTGCTTAATCTCGCGCTCCAATGCTTCATGACTACGAAATTAGCGTCTGGTCTAACGTACCGATCGTATGCTGAGATGAAACAGTATTTACTCGAGCTAAATACGACATTCCGAGATGTCGTACACGTTTCAATAGCTCAAGAAACGTATGGACTGCCATACCCTGATGCTCTTGATTGTATAATAAATGACGAGACGAAAGACACAGCACCTTGTCAACACTTTGTCGTACATTTAACTAATCATTCAACACTCAAAAATGATCCTGAACGACCAGAAGTTTTTATTAGTGGTGCATTGCATGGTAATGAACGTATTGGACCCAATGCAGCAATAGAACTCATTGCTCTTGTAGCACACGGTACATCAAAGTATCGTTCAAAGGATACAGTAATCCCAACGTTTGAGACTCAACAATGGTTACTTGAGCTTGTAAATACACGGAATATAGTGATTATGCCCATGACAAATGCTTTTGGATATGCTCATAATACTCGCGAAGAATTAACTCTTGATCCCAATCGAGATTTTAATTATATGCGAACGGGAGTTGAGTGTATGCAAACAATTACAGCTCGAGTTGTGAATGAGATCTGGCGAGATCATATTTTTCAATTAGCCGTGACATTTCATGGTGGAACACGAGCGATTGCATACGAATGGGGCTCACCTGATCATTATTTAGATGGAAATCCAAGGAAATCAAGTGAAAAGTCTCCTGATCATACAGCTCAACTTGAATTAAGTACTACATTAGCTCACTTTGCTGGTGCATTTCAAGATGGACAATTGTATCCAACGGGTACTATGAATGATATTGTCTATGGAGTCTCAGGTATGTTGATTCTTGATTTGAAAGGGAAAAGTGCATGCTTATATGTTGAAATGATTATGTAGGTGGAATGGAAGATTGGGGCTATGCTGCGTCATGGGAGAATCAGTTTTATGATGAGCTTGCACAACCTTTTCATCCATGTGACCCTAAGACGTTCGGGGGATACCCAAGACACAAGACAATATATAATAATGTCACCCATCGCGCTTTTAATATGTTAGTCGAAACAGCGAATGACAAGATTCCAGACGTTCTCGAGTTAGGAGACAAGATGGAATTGTATGGAACAAATGTCGATTTCTTTCGTATGGATAATAGTAAGATAAAAATCGTGGGACACGTGCCGCGAAATGTTCGTTTGGCACTCATGATGATTGAAATGGTGCAGCCTTATCTTCGATGGGTCCATGCAGCACCCTCGGCGTCGAAATCTTCATTAAGTATTGGATTTCAAGGTGCAGATGTCTATACTACAAGTGCGAATCAAGTCATTGACATGGGCTGCGGTGAAGTCGCATGGAAACGTCATGATGTTGCGACGTGTAGCACTTTTGATTGCAGAGTAGAAGATCGTGGGTTTTCAAAGCTACAGCTTGCGTGGGAGGTACTTGGAGCACTTACTGTCGATAGCACATACCTTCAAATCTCTTCTAACAAGGACTTTGACGACAATGACATTTTCATCACAACAGCAACGCAGAATGGCACGACTCGCCGATTCTACAACTTTGCATCGAATGACAATCAAGCGGCAAGTAGCAATGAAGATACAATGGGCACTTCGCTCTTTGTTACATGCCTTGATCTGAGGAATATCACGTTGAACAAGGTGTACGTTCGAGCTGTAGCTACTGTTGATCAGGTAACGTCATGACTTTGAAGTTGAATCGAGAACACTTGGCATCTAATGTCTTGTTTTAGAACTGGAAACAACAAGGTATTGATAAAGATACACCTTCTCCTCGCGTTCCACCTCAGTCGCATTTAGTGAATGCTCGAACAAATTTAGACTGGAAATTTGAATGGAATGGCCATCGAGTCAAAGCTGCTCTTGAATGGACTTCAAAGGTACGAGCGTATAAATGACTTGTTGAATGACAGAAAGCTTACCATTCTACAATGTTAGGTGATTAGTATTGAGTTGTTAAGCAATGTCCAAGACGACGTGAAAGATGAAATGACTTCCTCATTAAGTGCTGAAAACGGATCGCCAGAGGAGGATGAAGTAGAAAGTCAAGATTCGAGCAATGATAATGAAGAACGAGAAGATGATAGCAAGGAGGATACAACTGAAACAGCAGCTTCGACTTTATATCTAAAGGTTGCAATTGTTACATCAGATGATAGTGGCCAAGTCGATGATGAAAGTAATCAAAGTGACGACACAGAGTCTCAAAACGAGATCGCTGAACACGAACAGACTACACGAGTTCGTGCTCATACGCTTGGAGATATCACTACACTGACGTCAAATGATGCAAAGAATTCCGGATTGCTTCGCTTTGGTTACATTATTATGAGCTTTTGTGCTTTAATCATCGTGCTCACGATCGTATATCTCTACCGTCGTGTCTTCCAGCGTTCTCGTCAAACATATATGAATATTGAAAATGTGACGCAAGAGAACATTGATCGTACTGATGAAATGGACGGTGATCTTGACAATAAGAGCGAAGAACGTACAGAATCCGAGTCACCCGCAGTCGAAGCTTAAAAATCGCAGTGTCAGTCATTCGGGTTGTGTCATAGATGATTAGCTGAAAAACGTTTCAAGATCTTCCAGTAGATGAGATCGGGAGCTTTCATGTGTAGATGTAAAATATATTAAACGGACCTCATGAAACGTTGATAACTAAAAAGAATCGTCATTTGACCAACAATGATGACAACTACGACTGGACATGGAAGGAGAGAAAAGACCGAGATTGGACAATTTGAAAATGGGTAGAATGACAAATATACTAAATGACTGATTAGAGATACGTTTGAACGTCTTCATAATTTAGACTGATTCACTTGCTAAATAAGAAGACGCAGATATACGTGCAAGATCTTCAGGTTGCTCGAGTGGAAAATGAGTGGCACAATATCCTCCACCAATCACCCACTTCGTACAATACGTGTAACCACATTTTTTTCCGCCACCATGGCCTTTACAAAAGCCACCACCACGTTGAATTGCATTACAATTTTCCACTTTGCATCGTGTCCCACCACCATGACGAATGCACATACCTTTGCCTTTTTGTTTATTTGTACATCCTTCAAATTGACACAATTTTGTACCCCCATGTGCTTTACATAATTTTCGATTCTGTGCAGCACGATCACAATTTGGGACACAACACAAAACCTTCCCACCATGACCACGACAGCGTTTATTCACCTGTCGAATCTTCTCACATCCTTCAATAATACACTTGCGACCTCCACCATGAGCAATACAGTACCCACCACCAAGATCATACTTGGTACATCCAAGCATTTTACACCGTTTTCCTGGTCCTTTATGTACTGCACAAATACCTCCACCAAGAGCCCAATTTTTACAATTTTCAATTTCACACTTTTTACCACCACCATGTGCTTTGCAAAATCCACCACCTCGATCAACTTTAGTACATTCAGCAGCATTACATTTTTTTCCACCTCCGTGTGAGATACAAAAGCCACCACCAATATCACGTCGCTTACATCCATCAAAATGACAGAATCGACCACCACCATGAGATTTACAATATCTACCAAGCAAACATGCATAAAACAACAGTTTTAAAATCCCTTGACAAATGTCACGTACCCGCCTTCCATACGTTTGTTCCCACATCCTTCTACAGGACACATAGGTTTACCACCATGCCCTGAACAAAAGCCGTAACCTTGTACTTGTTTCTCACATCCTTCTTTCTTACACTTTTTACCACCTCCATGTCGAATGCAAAATCCATTTCCTTGATTATATTTGTTGCATTTTGGATGTTTGCAAAATTGACTAATTTTGTGAATTGCACATCGACCATCTAATCCAGTTGCCGCACGTTTGCAACGTTCACGCTCTCTATTGTAGAACCGACAAGTTTTTTTTGTCGCGACATAATTTTCCGTTGTTTTCGTACTTAGTGCCTTAAATACGCGTCGATTTTGACTTGCGGCTGCTCGTACACGTGCAGATGAGAGCTGAAGCACTGAATTCGTGTCATCTTCTACTCCAACTACATGAGAAACATCATCAGTTTCTAAATCGGGATCCTTTTGCTCTTGTTCCGCTTGAGCTAATAGCATCCTCGCAAGCTCCGCTCCGTCATGATCGATCTCTGGAAGTCCATCCGTACCTTCAAAAGACGTTTGAAAGTCTAATTCGGACGGTTGTGTCGTTGATAGATCAGCTACAGATATTTTAATACACAATCATCAGAAGTGAACACCCATATAATACTTTGATTCATTTACACACGCATAGAAGCCTGGAGACTCGCGTCGTCTGGCCGCATGCCACGCAAAAAGCGCAGATAATCGTTCTCGCGCTCGTCGGATGCGTCCATAGTGTTTGTTCCAATAGGTTTATATTGTAATTAGGGGGTGATTCAAACGACTATGACAGGGAGAGTGTTGTACGAAGGTCAGTTTAATTTTAATTGGCTAATTATCAAACGTTTGCCAACACCATTAATGATCATGGCAAGTGTTACGGAGATTAAGCAGCTTGAAGCGAAGATTAAAGAGAATGTGAAGGCGATGAATGAATTACCAACGATAGTTCAAGCATTACAACATAGTGAAAAAGCTATTGCTCAAGCAGCTATGCAAAGTATGCGACGTGTTTTACTCTTTTGCTTAGAAAAAGGTGATCTCAAGTCCAAGACAAGAGAAAACGATATTACGAATAATGCAAACGGTAAAGATTTGGGGGCAATTGATACATTCCATCGTTGGATATGGAATGTTTATATCAATTTTATCAAGTCGATGTTACAGTGGCTAGGCGATAGTGAAATGGACACAAACTTACGAGTTGGAGCTTTGCGTACTCTTATGGAATTTATATCTCGTGAAGGCAAAATCCAAGAGACTGTACCTACTTTTGGTAATGAAACGTTCTCTCAGTTGATTTATGAGTTAGTTACGACGAAGAAACTCAAGGGAGAAGTGGCGAGTGTGTTTGAAGGCGAGTTTATTCGCGCTTACATGGACGTTCAGTATTACATGGTAAGATTTGTAAATAGTAGAAAAGAGTTCAACAATGATATTTATGTTTCTTGTATGTAGCTCAAAAGTTTGGCTCATATTTTGGAGAATCGCAATGATCAAACCGACGCGACTGTAATCGCCAATGCTCTTAAATTACTTGAAATGGTACGAATGCCATGTGACGAGAAAGACATAACATCGTTTCTTGTGGAATCAAAGAATTGGAGTGTAATTGAGCACGATTTGGTAAGCAGTGACGAAAGTGATGAAGAGAAAGAAGAGATTGCAAATGTTGGCGAGAAACGAAAGATGACGTCAGATTCGAGTGTGAAGAAAACAAAAAAATCAAAAGGTTTGTACAGTCTTAAACAGCATCAACATGCATTCAGTTTAGCGTGGATTGCTGTGCTTCGTCACAAATTACCACAAGCTTCGTACGAAAAGGTGTTGGTACAACTCCCAGACGATATCATGCCCCATCTTGTCAATCCACTACTTCTTGCAGATTTTCTTACCGATTCATACAATATTGGTGGTGTCACGAGTTTGCTTGCATTAAATAGTCTGTTCCTTCTCATTCAAGACTATAATTTCGACTCACCTGATTTTTATAACAAACTTTATGCGCTACTGGACGATCCGACGTTATATTCAGCAAAACAACGCGACCGTTTCTTTGGGTTATTGAATCTCTTTTTGTCTTCGACGCACTTGCCGGCGTACACAGTCGCAGCGTTTGCAAAACGCTTGTCGCGAAGTGCATTGACAGCTGAGCCAGGTGCCATTTTGTTTATCATTCCAATGGTGTACAACTTGATTCTACGCCATAAAGAGTGTCTTCAATTAATCCATCGACCTGGTGCGTTCACTGCCGCGGAAAAAGCTGCGAAACGTCGTCAGGAACTCTCAAGCAACTCTGCTGTTGATGCAGCAGCAAAGAAATTGTCAAGTGAGACGATTGACTTGGTATTGAAGGACGGACACGATCCGTTTCAAAATAATGAGTTGGATCCGATGAAATGCAATGCATTGCAGAGTTCCTTGTGGGAACTTTACACCATGAAACATCACTACAATGCTGACGTTGCGTTAAAAGCGCGCATGTTTGAAGAAAAGCTACGGCATCAATTTCTTAACGTTGAAGATAGCATGGAGATTACTTACAAGAGCATTTTCAACAAGCAACTGAAGCGAAAAGAAAAGGCCAAAGTGCCTTTAGCTTTTAAGCCTTGTCATGCACTGTTTTCAAAGGAAGAAGACGAGACTGATAGTGGAGAAAAAGACCTTTTTGCCAAAGTCTTTGTACTTTAGATTGAGATTGACTTCATTGCGCGAGAATCTTACAGTATTAAATTTCTTTTCATGATCCAATGATCATAGTAGCTTGTGCAATTCTAAAATATGGTGACAAGAAGTGTCATGATCCTTCCATCACGCAATTCGAAGGATCACATGAACCCCGCTATCGCTCTCGACTAATTCACTAAGTTGACCAACTTTTAAAGCAAATGCAGCCTTTTCAAAAGGAGGAGCCATTTTCCCACGCGTAAACGGTCCTAAATCCCCTCCACGCTTTGCACTTTTCCACAAAACACAATATCAGAATTTCAAACATTATCAATCTGTATTTCTACACACCTGCTGCAATCACTTTCTTCTTTAGCAATTTGTTCAAATAGCTCGCGTAGTGCTTCAGATGATCTCTACGAATATCATAATCAAAATTCTCGTTATTTTCGGACAAATTCGTTTTGATATCAATGATCAAACCTCAGGATTAGCCTCAATACACGCCACAAGTTTATCTCGAATGCCCTGTGTCTTTGCTTGCGCTACTGCTTTACTACGAGTGATCGAGTCTTGTCGCCAGGATGAAGGTCTTCGAGATCCTGAGTGTTTGACAAGAATATGTAACGCCTACAGTCGATATCGAACACACCATAAGAGACGATAAATTAGTCTTCATGATTATCGATAAAATCATGTAATACGCACTTGAATGCTTTCGGAATCAGTCGAACGCCGCTTCTTTGTTTCGGACGCTGTGCGATGCCGGAATTCACGCTCTTTCGCATGTACATGCGATAGTTTCCAAGTCTTTTCACCACTTTTGACATGTAAGAAATACTTTTTGTCCGGACGGCTCTTACTCTGCACCTCCTTCCAGCCGCGTGGCAAGTCCTTAGCTGTACTCATTTTAGCTTTAAAGTAATTAGAATGTGCGGCACAATAATTGTTAAATTTATAAGCGCTAAACTGAAACTTTAATTTGAAATATTCGGTCACCGTGGAGGAAATATGGCTACAGCTATTTGACGCTTACAGGTGAATAATTGTACATGCTAGTAGGCGCAAAGCACAGATTTTGCAAAAATAGGATTGATTTTATGATATAATCACTCTTACGATTGCAATTAAGCTACTACTCCGGTTTTGTGGGCTAGAGCTTGAGCTGCCAGTTGGTCCGCTAAGATCTCAGCATGTCTTGTTCTCGCTGTGTTCTACTTCGCACTGAAAGTAAGTGCCTGAGAACTGCTGACGCTGATCGACGTTTGATATCAAAATTACAGGTTGTACTGCTTTCATTGCCAATTCGTTGATCGATCGACCGGGCTGCGCTAGTGTTCAGATGCATTAAAATTTATGTGACTGTTAGTGTCTACCAATCTTTCAACAAGCACATAACAATACTTATTGCCAGGTGATTATGCCTCTACAATCAGCCAACAGTTGCTGATGCGCTCAATTTTTATATCATTTCAATTACCAGTGCTTAGTTCAAGTTATTTAGCTGCGTTTTTGACCCACATTTCATAGTATTTGAGCACCAACGAACAAATCAACGTTGATTTTGAGCCTTAGCTGAACGGATCATATTCGGGGGTTGACGGATGCACGGATGACGCTGAGCTATTTTAAGGCAGAAGTGGGACTTCGAGCTAGCAAGAAGCGCGTATTCTCGTAGCTAGATGCTGTTGAACTAAATAGGTGGCCCGATACGCTACCTCTGCGCAAAGTGCTGCAAATG